TATATTTCATGATATTATTGTTATTAAAGTAATTTATTTTAGTCATTAGAAATAGTTTAATACATGGTAATTCAGTTGGCAGGTTGAATTAGTTTTTGCCACAGACATTGGATTTGAAAAATGTTACTAGGTTAGTTTTTGTAGTATATTTAGGTAGGTTGGTACCTAAATATACTACATTTTTAAATTTTCAAATTACAATAAAATTATATAAATCGTAATTTTTGTTTAAATATTTAATTGTGTCCAAATTTTAACTTGAAAAGTTATCCAATAAAATAAACTGTGTCTATTTGTTTTTTAGATTTTTGGTTGAAGTTTGAACTAATTAAGAGAAATCGTGTAATACATTTTCAATCCTTAGCTATGAAAATTGAACATCTTATACATTTTCAATTATAAAATAATTTACAAATTGTTGTATATTTGAGTAATTTTATCAAAATTCTAATTTTAAATGCTTTATAAAAAAATTTGGCTAAGTTCTATGTACCTATCTTTAATATTATTTTATTGCTATTATAACAATTGATGAGGAACAACGTATTAGTCGTATTCAATTTTCAAGGGTTTTTGATCGAGTGAAAAGTTGTTATTTTTCTACTATCATATGGCTATAAATAACTCAAAAAGATTCTTTTTTTGTTATGCATGAAAAATGGCCATATATGAACTTTCCATGAACATTTAAAGAACTCGTATTTACGGTAATTAGTTTTTGGTTATCTACACCAAAAAGAACAAAATTGATTTTACTGAAAAATGTTTTATATTTTTCCTTAATTTGTATTTTTTTTTCTTATGTATTTGAAAATTACTAAAAATTTCTTAATTGTTTGTTGGGACCCTCCAAACTCCAAAGTATCAACTAGATACACTTTACCAACAGAAAAGGTGTTGAAGTAGATTATGAAATGATCCGATTTTTACTGCCCCAAAGGTGATGATCGATAGAAAAGTAACAAACAACACATAATTAAAAAAAAATAAATTCTTTTGATCCGCTCAGAATCTAATGTCTTATAGAGTATAATATGTAGAGTAAAAAGTAAAAATAAAATAGATAGAGACCTACAACCTACACACAACCAATTGTCAACTAGGTATAGCCGTATAGGTAGGAACTAATCACAACAATATACTAAAATAATTAAAAATAACAAAATATGATCTTCTTAATAGAGCTCAAAAGTATTAAATGATAAATATAATCTGTAGCTAAGAGTTCGGATTCGATTAAGCTCATTTGAAAAATGTGCCATAATCTGATAGTCACATAGGTACCTCATAAAGTGGAGGTCCCTTATAGTCTCGTATTTAATCAGTATACATTAATTTCGTTTTTAATTAACACATAACAAAATAAGTTTTTTCCACATAAATAAAATAATCATCAAACCGAATGAATGTTGCGACCACAAAGACCTAAACGCCTTAAACACCCTTTTATTATATCTCTGCAGGGACAAAAATCCGCGTTCGTGCTGCTATTATAAAATAAGTGACGTGAGAAATAAAAACTGAAAATTACGTTGGCCACGGTGTGCTTAAATAATGAAAATATTAAATAACAATAATTATTTATCTGTAGAAACTCTTATAATATATAAAAATATGTTCTTTGTGGACGTCAAGCTCACGCGTACCTAATATTTAAATATTTAATTATTTAATTACCTATTTCATGGTACATTTTTTATTTGCACTACATCTACAAGTTGAGACATTTATTTAATTATTATTATTATTATACATTTTTTTTTAAATTACGAAATGACGATTTCAATAGAGGAAAGCAAACAAATATAACGTTATTAATCACCGAACAAATATAATGTGTAAATAAATATTTTCCAATCGTAGGTACAGTATATGTGCTGTGAAGGTACCTCAATACGCATCACTCGTGTTTGCATAATAATTATTATCGACTATCATGTCCACTGCACGTCACCGTTATTATTAATATTTTCATATTTTTTACCCTTGTTTATTAATTAGGAACCGTTTTGTAGCTTTGTATGTATGATAATAATAATAATTAATAACCGATATAATATTCAGTGGTGGTTCTAGAGTAGGCACAGACAGGACACCTTAAATAAGTCGTTTTGATAAGTTAAGTAAAGAATTATTAGTGGAAAGAATGAAAATATTTCGTTAGTTATTATAATTCATTTTACTCCTAGTTAAAATAATAATTAGGTACGTCTTTTCAAATTTATCAGTGTTATAGATACGTTATCGCTCATAGTACCTAGTAATTTACTTAAAATAAATAATCATTTGTAATTTCTATTGAAGTTGACTTCAAATAATTATTTAAAAAAATTCCCATCTGGATCTCTGGCAGAGCTTATGCATCACTTGTACAATCGAATCGGCCAAGAGACTTTTATTTATAAAATTACGTAGGTACACAAAAAATAAATATTCTGTAATAATACTTTAATAATCTAATAATATGTTTTACAATTTAAAGATAATTGACCCTTGAAGTATCAGATTAATGAGTAACTCTTAATGACGTGATATATGAATAAAAAACAGTATGACTCATTAACTGATCAACTGATCAACATTTGAAATTTAAACACGTACATCGAATGCGATATGATATGATATAAGATTAAAAGGAATTAAGAATTAATTAATTTGATATTTGAGCAATAATAGCGGTTCCCCTAAGTATCCAATAACTCTCCGGAAAGTCTGTCGGCAATAATATGGCAATTATAAAATGCGTGTTGTGTCCAGTGGTCGGATGAACACTTGTTCGAGCAGCGGTATTATACACAGGACAATTATATCGCAACCTTTTTTCGTCTATGTCTACCGAGGGTATTAGTTGTATAACTGGTAGTGGAGAATACAGGTCCCCTGGAATCAATTTAATGACATAAATATTAATTTACTAAGTTCTGAAAAGGCTGCAACAACAGAGTACAGGCAGTAAAATAGTAGATACATCATACATGTATTCAGTTTGAGGATTAAATTTTATAATAATTACCCGGAATGGGATCCACGAGACGTTTGCTGTCTAAGTCGATGCGTCCACCGCATAGAAATAGCCCGTGGACATAAACGCCATCATCTCCTTCCGCCAAACCTTTATAAACTTGAGTTTCTACTTTAAAACTGGTCGAGTGCATGGCCGAAATTTCCTTTTGTGCCAGAACAGTGCTGGTAATCTCAAAATCGAATTTTAAACTATAGACGGGTATGCTATATTTCCGGGCGTGCCTTTGAAGACATCCGGTGATAAAACCTTTTGGAAAATATAATCCAGAGATCCAGTAAGAGGTAGGGCTTCCGAATTTCGACCAGATCTAAATATGATTGTTATTATTTTCAACAACTTTACCACTTTTACGATGAAAATTATAAAAATATACAACTCACATTAATAAAGTCAAGTCTTAGTATTAAGTCTTTGATCCAACTGCCCAAAGTTTTCAACGAGGGATACGCTCTGTTCCGCCACATTGTCGGTACCTTCAACGTTATACAATTTATTAGATGTTTCAAATAATAATTATTATTACTATATTACTGTATTGTTCATGAATGACCAGTACACTGCTTCTAATTCTGTAGACATTATTGAGTGTCCTTCGATGGCCTCACGTAGGCCAGTTAAAGTATTGTGCACGACGTCGAGTAATATATTAAAACGTTCGATCTCTTGTGATAAAACTGTAGATAATGGAGGCAATCGTCCTTTTTCGTCAGGTTTCAATATTGTAAAATGAGATTGATGAAAATCTATAGAGCTAATAAGTCTTTTGGAAATATCGACTGTTATGTCTATAACGATTTCGTCATCTGGTTTACAAGCAGCAACTATTAGCGTTTTCGGATAGACACCAGAGATTGTCCGTAATGCTTCTTGTGTTTCTCTAGTCTTTTAAATACAATTTGCATGCGTTATAATTACTGTTTATATACATACAAATAAGTTTACTTCATAAATCTAATTCATACTTGATACACTATGTTGGCATTTTCGTGCATTCCAAATATTTCTAGTTCTTCTGTCATTGGTAGTTTATCAATAAATTGTTGATAGTTATCGATGGTGGAACAGTTTTCTGTTTCCGGACAAAAGTAAATGCCAGACTCAGAGTATTTATAATCTGAAAATATATTTAATTGTTTATTAGAAGATTTAAAAGTACCTAACGGTTATTTGCCCTCGTTAGTTACTCGAATCGAGTGTATGAGGACCTAAGAAATTCAATAGTATCGTCTTCAAGGTTTTTTGATCCCAATAATCGTTAACTCTGCTACCATAATTAATGTCAACAGTGATGTATTGCAAAGCATCCCAGGGTATTTCTTTCGCAGTTAAGCAGTACGTATGTAATAAGCGCATAGCGTATTCATAGTCACTATCAGTAAAGGCATATGGTACGTTCCATCCAAGTGATCCGAATTTCTTTCTTTCTAATACAACAGCGTGGAAAAAACACAGCCCGAAAACCATTTTTCGCCAATCAGATCCAAAAGCTATTGTGGGACCAGTTTATTATGTAGTTAGTAGGTAAATAAAACGGCAGGAATATTAATGTAAAATTATTCAGTGAAATGAATATATTTACCATTGTCTTCAAAAAAATCAATATTCATGTTTGCGAACGATTTTTTGATTTTTGCTTGCAAGCTATTTGGTGGTTCGATAGTAACTTTCAACGAATTTTGTAGGACAAAAGTTGGAAAATCGTGTGAAGGCGCTGAACTCAAGAACAATCGGAAATTTTGGTTGACTTTCAACGGGTTATCGATCAGTTCTTGAACTAAATTGTCCATGTGAAGCATCCACGATGGTGCTAAATGACAATTCTAAAAATTATGTTTGGTGTTATTCAATTTATTTATATGTTACAGTGTCAAAACAAAACACGATTCATGACTTTTACTTGTAAGAAAACCCAGTTTCCTTGTTCTTTTCCATTCTTTATTAGCTTTTCTGCAATAAGTCCCTGGCTCTGGCCTAGAGATATTGCATGTAGCTTGTCTATTGTGCCAAATTCTACTGAAAACTTTTGGAAAGACTTAAATGGATCTGAATCTGGACTGAGTATAAAAATTAACGGTACCGTAGATGAAATGTTGGTGTACAGTGAACTATAGGAAACATCCGGACTTCCAACAAACTTTTTACCAAGTTCGGTAATAACGTAATTAGAGATCGCACAAATTAATTTTTCTTCTTTAAGTGCTCTTATAATCATAAGTTTTTCGAATGAATTCAATATTGAATCCCAATTTTCTGCAGGGTTATTATTTTCGGGATCTAAATGAATATTCTGAACAAAATTACCAAGTTTGATTCGTATACGTCCAGTGCAGTTTTCCGAAAGACTTTTAAACTTAGGAAATATTTCAGACATGTAGTTTACAGTTTTCCAAGTGTCTTCCGTCAATACCATTGGTTTTTCCGGAATGTTTTTTTTTTCTGTACCCACGGGCCCGTGAAGCAAAAACTTCCATTCGGCATTAGTGATTTTGCCTATTTGTAAATTTATGTTGATGCTGAGTAAAAAACTGAATATTAATTTATGACATTCAAACAAGCCTCTAGAAATATTTGTATAAACTGCCATGGTAAGATCTTCAATAATGGTTGTCATTTTTGCGTCGAATTTCATCGATTTGTTACTGTTTTTTATCACATTGGAAAGTATCTAAAATAAAGCAATTTTATCAGGACCATAATATTACCATATATCGATTCTAATACTGACGGAATTAAAATAGTTCAAAGAAAACTGATACATAATGTTGATTTCAGATAGTTGAGCCACAACAAAATAAAGACATGAACCTCGTTTTGCTATAGCTCGATAACGCTCTCGTGCGGCATTAACGCTTTTTTCCGTTTCTTCAGCATCGACTAAACGCCCAGCTATAATAATTGACGATTCCTGAAAAAATAAAAATTAGATAACCAATATAATAATGCAAAAGGAGTGTAAAACTATATGTTAACAACCTTGCTGTTGTTGAGTGTATCGATAAGTTCTTCGTCATCTAAAATGTTTCCCTCTGATATATATAGCATTCTTAAAGTTTTTTCTTCCATTTCTTTTAATATATTATTGTCGTTATTTATTATCAAATTTGTTTCGGTCCGTTTTTCTTCTAATTCGGGTCTTTCTAATCGCACGACATGACTATTGAAATTAAAATTAAAATTAGTTCAAATTTTACCGACGTATTTCAAGATTTATATTGGATTACTTACGCCAATAACTGATCTTCTAATCCTATCGGCGTTAATATAAAATTTACCATCGTCACTTGCATCCACACGTTTGGCAGATAATGAGGATTTGACATTTTGGTCGTCATGTAGAATCTGAACTTACTGTCGTATTCTACGTCGGTATTTCCAATGCGCATCAAAAGGCGTCCATCCTATTAACGATTTAACGTTAATAATGTTTTAAAATCACAACTAGCATCTTTCAGACAGTTTATGAAATCAAGTATTTTTAAAATTTTATAATTATAAAATAGGTAAATACTTATGTGATTGCGGCATGGATAAAATATAATATAATTAGTAGGGCAATGGACTTCATGCCTTCAAAAACCTTAAAATATGCATGCATTTATGCCCTAAGGAATCAATAAATATGCCATTAAAATATGCATTTAAAAAATTATATTCTTTTAAAAAATCGTTAAGCAGATCATAAGGTTTTGGTTTAGGTCTAGGCATTTTTAAATTATTTTACTATGGGCTCACTCGAAAGAAAAAACACTTCACGAAACCAAAATATGAAGAACGCACAACACCAATTGTCAACTATTACTATTCAAGGGACCGTCTGGCCTCTATCTACGACTAGTCATAGTCTATACAATTTTTTTTTGGTATCACTATCGGCTTATTGTCTTTCGGGAATCACGGGTGTGGTATACCGATAAGTAACAATACAATTGCAATGATAGGCAAGAAAAACGCAAACATTAATTTTTAAATATTTATATCCGGTGCAGGAAATCTATTTAAAATTAAATTTTTTTTATAAAACTCAAAAACTTACTACTTGTATAAATAATATTGTCAAATATGCACTATTAAAATTAAAAATGGTCAAATATGCATAATATGCAACAATAAATTTAAAATATAAACTTGTTTTGCTATGAAACAAATTTCTATATTATTTAGCTACGTTTTTAATGATTATTTAAAAGCACGCAAACTCCTTGAAGTCCCGAGCCCTAATAATTAGTGTATCAAGCGTAGATAGCTTGTTGGTAAATCTATCCATATACAACTACATGTTATGGAATAAAGTTATTATTTGCTGTCCGATCACAAATTAAACTACGTTTTAGGTTTCTTGTACTAGAGGGTACCATCGTTGGATGATTTCCCTCATCATGTGCCTCATGTGTATTTTTATTATGTATATAGGGTTATATCAATTATCCATTTAACTTATTGTAAATTTTCTTATAATAAAAAAACAAAAGTTTTCTTGCGGGGCCTGGGAATAGTTCGAGATAATAGGTTAGAGATAACGGGATTTCGTTGATTTGTTGACAGGAGTGAAAACTATAATGTTTTTTCAACATTTTAGAATTGATAGTTTTATGTTTGAATCAAGTTACTCGTAAAAACGTGATGTTTTCCAGCGCAGGTTTGAGTGCGGGGCTTATGTGCTCATCAAGGACTTCAATTAGAACGGCACCGCCCAGCCTGACAGCATCGATAATCGCGTCCGTCAGATCGTCGACGGAATCTGCACCTTTGCACGTCATCAGAGAATTGTCTGCTTCCAAAGCCTTGATCCATTTGTTCGCCTGCTCTTGAGGGTCTATCATCAGCGGCCACCGACTTGCTCTTGTCGCAATTATCATACTTTCCGTCGAAACCGGATCCCGGGGCAGACCACAGACATTCCACAACCGCAGCTCAGAAGGATCAACCAACACAGAGCTCAGGGAATAATTTGGTGAATGCCGAACATTGTGTCGTGTTAACTCCTGTAACCACGAAAGGGTTATCTCCTTACGATAGCCATCCGTAAATGGTCCCAGATAGTTGATGCTTCCGGCTGCTATTATTGTATCTCCAACTATGGTCGACAGACGTTGAGAGTACGTCTGCAACGATAAAACGTGTTTGCCAGAATCTATGCAGTTATCACTTGAAAAAAATACGAAAATATACTTTCAAATTGTTTTCCCATTTCTGCTGTTCATCACTCAGCGCCGCGACTAGTAAATCTGACCGGTTCAACCGTGATTGAGTTCGCTCTATGTTCAATTCTAATTTGTTTTTCTCTGAAACGCTTCGGTCGTAAACGTCTTCGAGTTTTTGTAAACGTTCTTCTACATCAGCTAGCATTTTTTGTTTTGTTCTTAGTTCTTTCAACACGACGTTGAGTTCGTCTTCGGCTTCTTGTTGTCTGGATTTATAGGTAAGTATAGATATTAGTAACACAAAATTAGGTAAAAGGACTCAAATTATTGTCTCGAACACATGAAATTAAAGATTTTTAAAATATTATCATGTTGTAGTAAATGAAAAAAAATGTAACTAAAAAATACAATATTTGATAAATTACATAAATACATTTTTAGAAAAAAATATCTATATGAACTATCATCATTATTCATTAGTTATAAATGTTATAATGAAATCGTACATCATTTATAAATAAAAATTATGTTTCAACAGAATATACATCTGTACTCTAAACATAATTATTATACTCTATTAGCTGTGGTTAAGACTTTTATATAACCATTAAGTATCTCAATTAAGAAATACTAATTTGTGTGCCATGTATAGTCTATTAATTATAATATAGTTACTGCTATTAATAAAAGTGATACTAATTTTATATTTTTGGCCAACGTTCACAAATTGATATATTTTTTAATTAGCCAATTCGTTCATATTTAATAACATATTATTACTAACACTTAAGCGATGGATCAAATGGATCATTAACGATCAATTATGAACAATATGGTCCTTATTTATATTTATTGTAATGATTATACCATAATTTTAATTAGTATTATGATGAATATTTTGGGTGATATGTAAAATTAAATTTAAAAAAATGTTTTTACTTCTTTCTTTTGGGCTCTACTATTCGATATACTAGAGAGTAACTGTGAACAGCTCGAACCCACATGCACATTGATTTGGCAACTTTTGATTGAGTAGCTACTTTCTGTGGATTGAAATCTGGATCTTCTATATAGGGCTTAAGTTGGTTGATTAATTTGTCAGATATATTGTCTGTATCGTATTCTTGAAGAGCTTTTAGAAAATTGGCATCTCCTAGTACTGTTTTAGCCGAAGTCCAATCAGTTCTAAACAAAAAGATACAATTAAAACATTTATTTAAGATGTAAGTAAGTAACTATAAGTATGTGCAGCACTATGTTCAAAAATTTATCCCAGCGAGAAAATTAAATGGCGCCCCTTATAGTTATTGCAAACAAATTAAGGAATTATAACCATTCTGTTTTTAATGTATTTATTCATAGCTTTTTTAAATTTTTTTAAGGTTTTTTTATTCCATATTAGTTATGCAGAGATATTATTAAAAAATACACTCCTTACAATTATTACAGCCAAAGAAAACTCTTCTCTGAACATGACCAGATTCAGATTACTTACTTTTTTGACAATAACAAACACACGGCTTCCATAACAGTTTGAACGAGTTTATGTGGCTTGCTCAACATCCTTAGTTCGTTTATATCGTTTTTATTTAGTGACTCTAATGCCGCTTTGGCTGCTTCCATCGCTGGCATAGCCAAAGTTAGGTCCCTTTGGGCATCTTCGGCTATTTCCTGTGCAGCTGAAGCTTTCATTTTCGCTGCTGCCTCTTCCACAAGTACTATTTGCCGCACCTTATCTACGCTCGCTTTTTCTCTTGTCAGGCCTTCCATTAGTTTTGTGGTGGCTTCATTTTTCTCTAAGAGTGCCGGTGCCATAGATTTTAATTTTGTTTTCATATCTCCTACCATGTCAAATGTCTCGTACAACTTGCGTAAACCATTCGAAATCCGGGCTGAATCGTTTTTAATCTTGTCAGTTTGTGACCCTCGCATTTTTACGTACAATTTCAGAAATTCCAAATAACTCTTGAGGGTTACGTAGCAGCTCCTCGCCGTTTGTTTGCAAAACTTGTCAGTTTCTCGAATGATAGTCAAGTGCATGTTGTGACACACATCCGTTAGGCTGTCGACGATGTCAAGGTTTTCTGATTGCCCAAAAGCCTCTTCTAAACTTTGGTGAGCTACAGACAAAAAAGCTTCGGCCGGCCAATCATCAAACCAATCTATCGTAGTGTTATAAACCAACGAAGGAAACAGCCGGCATCTCCGTCTAAACTCATCGCCGATGGAGCTCATGGATACGACGAGATGGAGTTTAGAGCGAACGCGCTGTATGAAAAATCTGAACATGGCTTCTTGATTCTGGCCGTCGATTCCTAAGTTCAATGCTGCTGGCCGACAAGCAGTTATCACATTCTCCAAGACATCATGTTTAAATAAATCTGGTACTTCCCCTTGAATATATATTATAAAATATGAAATACGTATTGTTTATAAACGATAATTAATCATATTATTGATTTTAGTGACATACTTGTACCAAACATTGGTTTACCTGTGCTTAAAATATTGTTTATATCTTCTAAAAATTCTTCTTGTACTATCTGATTATCAGTGAATAAAAATGTAGTGTCTTCAAATTTCACACCGGTGTTGTGATAAAGATTCACTAAGTCTTCACGAAAAGTAGCATGATTATAAGATTTTGTTAACTCGATTTGAAAACATCTGAATATTCATGTAATAAAATTGTATTTTAATATTGTCATATATATTTTTTGTGTTTGTGCCAATAGAATGTTATAACGTAAAACTTACTTGAAAGTGTTTATGTGTGAAGACAATTTTGTCAAAGATTGTTTGCCCATTCCATTAACTCCAACGAGTAAAGCGTTTCCTCTTTCAAATCTTAGTATCCTCGCAATACGTGTGATATGCTCGATGGCGTCCATGAAAAATATGATGTGCATGTCTTTATTATGAACTATATTAAAATCTGTTAATCTTTCGACCAACGTGGTTTTTAATTTATCGATATCAATTATTTCTTCGTAAATTCTTCTCTCTCTCGAAACTGAATTCATGAAATCACCAAATAATAATATTGGAGGACGTGATGAATTTTCGTCTGTAGATTTCGAAATGTCTAACTCTTCAGTGTTGAAATAACGTGTGCACACGTCCTGAAGAACTTTAAAGAAATACGACCTGTCTTTTTGGCAAACTAAACGATCGTGATACACACGCAATGTTTCGTGATACCATAGTCTGTGAGAAAAACAAATAAAACATTTTATCAACAAATATTATTTTCAATGGCATAATATGTAAGGCATGTGTTATTTATATTTTATTTTAACATAATTAGATACTCCTAAAAACCTTAATTTAAAATTTAAAATGTTAATATTTATCTTTTCAAAAATGTAATTTGCTTGTAAGTAAAATTACTGAATATTTCATTTTTTGAAATTTAATTTTTTTGCATATTTTTGAAACGTAACTTAAAATTTTGAATTTACAAGGGAGTGAATATCTAATACTTATTTAGTGCAATTTCATAGTTGTGAGTAATGAGCCATGACTACAGCAATATACCGGTATAAATGTGTTTGTTCCAGTATTGTGATGAAATTAGCTTGCAAGACTCCTTGTATGGTCTTCGACAAATCTCTTAGATTAAACACATAGTGCGGCTTGGCCGGAGTCGGTAATAAGTTTTCTGAAATACTCAAATAAATTTTAACACTGGCTCCCACTATTTTTGAACTAGTATTAGCTATATTTTCAGGGAACTCTTCTAGAAAACTGTCCAAAATAGATGTGAATATAGTTTTCATGGAATTTTCACTTGTATTGGGCATGAACATCATTGAAAAATGTCTTGTGAATCTCGGAGTTAATAGATTTCGTCCTCCTCCTGGAGGCGAGCAGATGGTACACAAAATCACATTATCTATGTCTTTCCAATCCAGTTTACCTCTATCATATATGCCACCGGAATCCAAAAACTGTCTTAGCAATTCAATAGGAGGTTGAGCACCGTAAATTTCGGGTATCGGCATGTTGACATCATCAACGAAGAGCGCCAAACGTTTATTTACCGGTGCACTGAAACGATTTCGTTTTTTCTTCACTAATTTTGATTCCAATACTTCTTGGGTCCTGTTACTATTTGTGTATGCAGAAAAATTGATCGTTTCAGTTATCCAGTCCCCCATAGACCTTAAGTCTTGCATGACAAAATTTGCTACCGAAGTCTTACCTACACCTAAAATTATTTTATGATTATGGTATTGTAAAAATAATTTTTAATTTACTAGTATTCAATTATTCTTACACACCTGTTGTTCCAGTCAACATCACTGGTTGGTTCATATGTACAATTCTTTGTGCAACATGTGTATACCGAATGCTATCTACTGTAGGCACTAGTAATTCGTGATAAGGTATACGCGCCTTATATACAAAATCTGGGATGATGGTATTCCAATGTTCAAACTTTTTACTTTCCAAGTTTAGATAAACGTCAAATAATTTCGTTCCTGGTAGAATACCATATTCAGGAATGTCTGCAAATTGATTGAAAACAAAATTTTCGAATTTAATTTGGGAAGAATCGACTAAATTTGATCCTAGAGACCACAAATATGAGAATATAAATGATTGATAAATATATTTTTGAACATTTGAAATTTCCGTTGACACATCAAAACTACCAGGGTCAGTTAATAGAGATTCGAGAATTGTACACATCATTGTCGCTTTACTAATTTCCACCTAAAATAAAGCATGATTATTGTATAAATGCATATCTTTTTTAAAATTGTTCATAGATGAGCGTTTAAATGTAAGTGCCTATAGTAGTACCTGTTGAATGGGAGCCAAACAATGTTTGTCAACAAATGAAAAGCCTTCGTTGACATAAGTTTCAAATAATGACATAAGATATTTTTTTAATTCTGCACTTTTAATGACATCATTCTGTAATCGATTTGCCCACGACTGTACGTATGGTAACCATCCTAGGTTCGATGTGTCCATATAAACAATTCCACATCTGCTAACTGTAGAGGGCGATGCTTGTGATAAATCACCAACTTCAAAAACCATTCTAACCTGTAAATTATAATTGTACTTTATTGTATAACATATTAATGTTAAGGCGATAATTTAGAACGTAAAACCTTTACCCAGGAGCTCAATTTTATGCGTTCGGAATTGGCTAGACACAAAATCTTGCTATCGTCAAGAACGGTATTTAGATTTTCGACCCATATTGCATCAACAGGGCCGTCACATACCACCCACTGAAATTCTTCCTTTTCTGCTTGCACTGTTTTTCTTATAATTTTTCCAAGTAATCCGTCTCTCCATTCCATTGTAAGGAGATCTAGTTGGCCGTAAAGTTCGCTTATCGAAATCGCTTTAGGATTAAGTCGGTATATGTTCACTGGTCTGTAATGTAGGTTTTCTATTTTCTGATTATAAAGTTCTGATAATGTTTTACCAAGTATTTTTAAAATCGTAGTTTTTCCACTCCCCGTCGGACCAACAGTCATGATACCATGTCGGACGATTATTGTCTGCAATAATTGTATAATTTTTACATAAATGCATTCTTTAATTTGATAGCCTTCACTTTCCATCACGCATTTGGCAGTCGATAAGAATATTTCATAATCTTGTTCTGGTAAGAAAATTTCTGGAAATAAATCTTCTAATATATCCTAAAGTTAAAAATATATATTATTATTTGTGTTTTAACGGAAATTTAAGATTGTACTTCATACCTTGAATAATATGGCGTCATCTTTTAGAAATGTTGGTAAATTACTATCCCTCAACGCTTTGACGACGATTACATTTTCTTCAATGATAGGATTTTCTCGTCTCAATAAGCCCGCCATTATTAAAACGCTTTTTACAGCTCTATAATCATACAAAATAGTTGTTGGATTCAAATATAATACTTGAAATAAATCATATACTCATTACCTCATCCCAAAATCATAGTGGTTCTGAATTGAAAGCTGTTCACTGCATAATTGATACACTTTTACTATTTTATGAGACAGCATTTTTGACAACTGAAACCCTTCAGAATACAATACAACCTCTGCAATTAAACTATAGTCTGGTATCATCATTGTCATAGATCTAAACAAAGCTTGTAGATTTTCCGGTAATTTACTTCTTCCCAAATATTCTGGATTTATCGTTACAAATGCTGCACATGTCCTAATCAGTCTAATCTCTCGGCCTTCGAAAATGAACTTGTTGACATTAGTCAGTTTTGCGTTCGTGATAGTGATTAGTTGTTGTGCGATAACAGATAGTACTTCGATCCTTACACGATCAAATTCGTCGAAACAACACCACACTCCTGATTGAGCTAAACCAGAAAAAAATCTGCCCATTGTCTAAAATAAAAGAGGAGATTCATCAATATTTTTTTTTGCATGAATGTAGCAGTTATAAATCCAAAGCAACTCTAACTTTATAATTAAATCCATCAGAACAGTTGAATAAGACACATTGTGTAGCTAACGCTTTTGCGAGGCCCTTAACCGTTTCAGTTTTTCCGGCACCCGAGGGTCCAGACAATGCACATCCTAAACACAACTGAAGCGCAACCATCATGCATAAGTAGCATCGGTCAGTTAATGGCGTTATCACTAATCGAGGAGATGAACCTAGGTATTCGAACGCATACAACCAACGAGCGTTGGCCGAGTACGCGACACATCCGTCCTTGGTATCCCAATAGTAACGAAGTTGTTTCAACCATTCAAAGTGTGCCTCACTATTGATTTCACGGCCGACCAAAGAAGATATCACATCTCTTGCGTGAACATCGACAGTGATCATTGCACTTACTCCAGAACATTGGAGTTTGGTCAAACGTCCAAGTCGAACCATTGCTGCCAAATCATTCAGGCCCTAAAACGGCAAGCCTTCGTCATTAGTGATAAAAATCTTAATTATAACCTAGATTTTAATGCGATTTTGTGATAGAAATACTTAATTTGAAATATTTTTGTTCAAATTCAATCAATGATTCTTGTACTTTGGACTTGAGTTTAAGGATTTTGTGTACATCACGACACCATATCATTTGAGATACCACAATCACTATCTGAAAATAGAATTACTTTAGATTTCAGTGTCATACATTATTAAAATTGTAACCTGGTTAGCATGTAGTAACACCCATTTTTCTCTAGGAATTTCCTCATAATCTTCTATGGCTATGGACATGAGCGATCGTAATGTATTTACCATCTCCTTTTCTACCCTCGATAGCCAAAATTCTATGTTCCCAGTGGCTTTGATCGGTGACACGAATTTTACAATCTCTCTTTCCGGAGATATCATGGCGATAACGTCTGTGGGTGTACTATATTTTCCATCTATTGCTGATTGTAATGGTTTTCCTTCTTCGTCGTCGTTTTCAAATCGAATTCGCCAAATAGCATCAAAACATTTGTTCATGTACGGTTGTACAGCTCTGGGATTTCGAGCTTGGGCAATCAATTCTAAAAGTTCATCGTTTGCTAAGAAATTGAATCGTGGGAACACAACTCTTTTTGATTCTAAATACGCTTCCAAATATAATACTATTTGTTCTAATTCTTGATTGTTTTTTATAAGAGTTTTCAATAGGTCGGTGTCGGTGCATGTGCTTATTGCTAAAGGATTTTTTACAACCTTTAGCATTATGTTCTTCCATGAACTGTTCACTTGATTAAACAATTTAGCTTCGTTTGGAAGTTGTCGTTGTATATCCGGAGCAGCAAACATCAATTCCAAATGAATCCAGTTATTCTGGCACAATATCCATTCCGTCTAAACACATCGTGTTCAAACAATTGCATAAAGTTCAAAAATAATTTAATAACCTATAAAATATAATTGTTATATTACTTACTAGAATGTCATTCATAATGGTCATAGAATTTATCCATTCTTCAACTTTTGGTTTAATCATCACTATGTGTTTTGATGAAATGAGAGAATTTAAGTTTATATTTGTTTCTTCCAATGTTAATTGAACTTCTTCCAATGAACCGAGTATAAAAAGATCGTTAGTATTTTTGTAAGGAAGAACAATCAAATCAATAACTTTCCAAGAATCTTCGACTTTCTTTAACAACGCTTCTAAAGTAGCTTCAGAACTTGCCTGCATTGAAACATCTATTATTTCAGAACCGTATTTGAAAGCACCGAATTTTTCGAGCATAATTAGAGTAAGATATTGATTAGTTGGAAACGTCGTCCCAAGGATTTGCTCGATTTTAATCCAATGATAGTCCTTGAGACTTGGATTTCTTAACATTGCTATAATCGTCATTTTTTGTTTGAATGACTGTACTTTTTGGTCAATAAGATCAACAAGGTTGCATGCAGGAATATTTTTTTTAAATTGCGTTACGTATTTTAAATTTAGTGCTAAGAATGTGTTCATTTGTTCCACTTCTAAATTATGAAAATGATCTTCTTCCCAAATAGACATTTTTTTTTCCCATTCGTCTAAGCTATCCCACATCAAAATTCTAAGTCCTACAGCTTCACTTGCATCGCTTAGAACATCAAACTTGGTCATCTTTACTCGAAAGAAACTCTGGTAAGACTCATACAAATTCGATTCTTCTTGGCGTTCTACTAATCGATTATTAAGCTTAGATAAGGCCAATTTTACTTCTTCTTTATTACTGTTAATATCAGTTAACCACAATTCCTGAAAACCAATATAGCTCATGATATGTAATATTTCATACGTAGTTTCTATGCTGTAAATATAAGACATGGATAAAATACTCGAATGCTTATAAAAGTAGTATTTCTAATAATATGTATTAAAATGTAAGATAGATACTTCATGAAGATACTATTCTGAAAAAATTATTTAAAATACTATACAACTATCCCAAATACGTTCAAAATAGTTTTGATTTTAGATATTAGAAAAATGACACTTATCTTTATTCTTTGGGAATATTTGAAATGATGTTAAAATATATTGTACTTATAGAATATATAAGCCTTGATAATTTATGATTTATAACAAAAGAATAAATATTCAAATAAAAAATATAATTTTTATGTTATAAAAGTATTTTGAATTAATTCTTTTAAATGCTTTCAAAAGTATTCAGAATACAGCAATAAGTACTTTCGGGAGAAATTATTAAAAATTATTACGAAGACTGTACTCGGAATACTACCACTAAGTCTGTATTTTTATCTATCATTACATTGGCTTCAGTATTTATTTGTTCCACATCTTGAATCATGTCTTTTATATGAATTTCAATTTTTTTGACGAATTCTCTAATGAGTTTGTCTTGTTCATTATTAATGTCCTCAAAAGTTGTTTGTAGAGTAGAAAGAGCGTCTGCAAATTTCTGTAAATAAATATTATATACAAATCGCTTATTATTATTAAACTACAAACTACAAAGTTATAATACTGCTATTAACATCATAATTTTCAATATCTTCATCGGGAACGGGCACTGCAAATTTTTCGGCTAACTCATAAAGATCTCTTATATAGTTATGATTTTTATCTATTTCGTCCAACTGAAATATTAAATCACGTTAAAGAATATTGTTGATTTTCATGTAATTGTAGAGTGTAGCTAATATTATTATATTATTTAAATGCAAACCCTTATAGAAAAATGTTCCAGGAATTTTTTATAATCTACGTATTGTGCAGCAGTAGATGGTGAAGTATGTAGGTACTTGAGAGAATCATTTATTTCGTTTGACAGCTCATTCACCAGCCGTTTGCCCGCTCTAAGTGAAGGTATATTTTATTATAAGATAGTTTTTTCTAAATACTATTTTTTACATACTTTACAAGCGTTTTTTCCACTAGCTCTAATAAATATTCGCAGGTTGGTTTAGCAACATTTTTTAAAAGGTGTAATTTTAAATGAAACATTCCCAACATTTGTACAGTTTTTATTTTGTCGACGTCGGTTATTTGTTGTCTGTATTTCTCTAACATTTTTCGAAAATTAATAATGCCTTTGAAAAGAAAAGTATATCATGCACTTACTTATATTTCAATGAGAGCGAATTAGTGGAATTCATGATCATACATCAATAAGTGGCTAAAATACTTACTGGTTTCGTTTTCGATAGTTCCTTGATCGATATCTTCGTTTTCTCTGTAAATAATGTGAACATATTCCAGACGTTTTAAGTACTTGTGGACCGCCTTAAAATTCGTTGTGAAATAATTCAAGATTTTTTCCGTGGTGCTCTGGTATGCACCATCAATTTCGAATACAAACTGCAATGATGGTCCGTTGCCACATACTCGATCATTTTGTTTACCACAAATTGACGGGCTGAAATGAATGACGAATTATTTAAATAGAAATATAAATTTGATGCACTAAAAACTATTTACGAACATGAAAAATTAGTAGTATTATATTATACTCTAAGAGTCCTAAAATGGTCTACAAATACGCTTAATTAGTTAATTTTTTTTTCATTTCGACATTACTCAATATTTACGTTTCAGTTAATATAACGTTTGATAAATTGTTTTACGTATAATTTTAAGTACCTGTTACAGTTATATGTTCATTTTCGAATGAAAACAGCTTAAAATCGTTAAGTTAGGTAATTAATTTAGTAATGTACATTTTTTTTTATCTGGCATCCATATTTGTATTTATAGTAAAGCGCTATTGATACATACAAATAAAAGCGAAAATACCATTAAAAATAACGTTTATGAAAAAACCCAGATTAAGTAACTCAAAAAAATAAATTACTAAATTGTTGGAATATGAAAAATGCTTGAATAAGTAATTAAACCATTAAATACAATTCTAAAACCCTCAATCACTCCAAAATATGTACAGCCAATCTAGAGTTTTGCATAATTATACAATCGTTTTTAAAATTTAGATCATTAAAGTCTTTGGAAATTATTTTATTTGCATATATATTAAGCACCAATACGAATGTCTTTAAGCCCGTACAATCAAATCGATTGAAAATGAATGGACCTAAAAATTAAAAATCTAAAAAATGAATCACCTAAAACCGGTGCCAGAATCGATTATAAACAAGTAATGACTTTATAGATATACTTTTGGTTTTGAAAAATGTAGGAAATTCATACTTAATTATTCGAATTCCTGACCTATCTAGTAAGTACCTACCTATAAGTGCATAGGTACAATTGAGTTATAATTAATCTTTAAAAGTAGTTTACCCGAAAATACTATGTGATGGGTGAAATGGTGAATGAATGTAGGTATTTAAAACTCACATTACGAAATCGTTGAATTCGATATCATCCAGAAGCGGTGGAACGTGTGTGATAACGATCCATTTCCAGTTTTCCATTAAAAACGACACGTAATTGATGAAATCGTTTTGCGCGTTATCGAACTCGATACCATTTTTTGTTAAAAATGCCTCCAACACGAACAGTGGTGACTGTGCATCGAAAGTATGTAAATAATATTGTATAGGCATATCAAAAAAAACATTTATAATTTTATATTAACATTACGATCGTTTCGACCGGATGTATAGTTAATCTCACCTTTGGATCGTCCGAAGATCTGTCACTTTCCAGCACAGTATCGACGTCGTCGGCACGGCCGTTCGTATGATGAAGTTCGTCGGGAACGTATTTGTAGTGCCTGCGCACGTCCGCCTCAAAACGAACGATCTGATTCGTGGCTATCTTGTGCAGATGCGACTGCAACTGGAAATCGACGAACGCGATAAACCGACATATCCTCTGACAACATTTAAGTTTGGACCTTTGTTTTACGAACGGCATCGTGTAGGTGGTGGTACTACCACCACCGGCTTGGGTCTTTGCTATACGCGAGGTCTTTGTGGTACGGAATTCCGAGTCGTCCGTGGTGAACCCGCATTCGGCCAGGGCGCTGGAGCACGCGGCCTGTACTAAGCCTTGGACCGTCAGGCGCAGATTCTGCAAGTGTCCGACGGCCGCCTCAGTGCTATTCTCCTGCACGACACAGGTACGGAATATAAATTTAAAAAAAAATGATATGGTTCAAATCCTGAACCCTATACAGGTACCCTGCTTACACATCTCGAAAATAAAAATGACATTCGACGTGGGTATATGTAGTTTATAAAAATTAAAATTAAAACCGTTTCTAAGGTACCTAGTAAAAAATATTACTTAATTATTCGGATCGTTTCTGAGGATTTATTATGCTCTTATAGGTAGGCAAAATATTTCAGAATAAAACGAATCCACACTGACATACGAATACACTTTAAATATATACTGGATGGTCTTAAATATTAGGTTTCTGGTGTGAAATTGGATTTAATTGGTACTGAAGCAGTTCCCCATCACTTAAAAATTAAAAGTCTTAAAATAATTGAGAAAAACTTGCGAAAATAATGAAAAAGTGGGAATACTTAAGCAACACCAGTTTCAATAAAATCGATTTCTTTTTTTGTTATTATTCTAAAAGGAATATCCGTCGTACAGACTAGATATTTTAATTAAATATTTATATTACATACAATAATAATAATAGATTCGTTTATAAATTCATCGGATTTGCTATTAGTTACTACGGCTCGTTAGACCCTGTGCAAATGTGCTGTTTTCGCCATTGCGACACCGTAAAATGCAAATACGGCGTAGGTAATATGTGATCGTATTGTACAGAGCATATGTTGTGAGGCAAAAAACGGAAGTGTGCACCAGGCGTTAGGTTAGATATATATGATTATATTTTCGTGTGTCATGAATCATGATGCATAATTAATCATATTATAATCAAATCTAGTTTTAAATTTAAACTGATAAATAATAAACTGCGGTCTTTCGCAACCCTCAAAATTTCAAATTAAATGGGTAAAAAATAATATCAGTAGATTTTACGTACATGCTCTGCTTACGGATAAAAAATTAGTAACAGTGGAATTTACACGATTTTCACAGGTATTCATTATTATATAATATAGTCTTTCACATGTGCAGTGTGTTCGGTGTACAAATACCACCTACAGGATTATAGCTTAAATAATTAAATAGCAACAATAAAATATTAGAGCATATTATTAGAGTTTAGTTTTTCTGACAACTGATAAAACGATAAGTATATTACCATAAATTGTACAACTATGTTGCAGCTACTAGTTATGAACAGTATCATATTATAGGTATATCGTATTGCCAATCAGGTATTTACAGTTAGGTCGAATTGCACTTTTTTTCGTCAAATTTCATTTGAGACAGAAAAAGATAAAGCTCGAATTACACTCGTTAAGATCATCGCATAAAACTTATTTATTAACTCCCATCAGTCGACAGTCAAAAGGAGAATTTGTATTTTTGATATCTAATATTTATTGTTTTTAACTATACTATAATTGTATAGATAGATTCAGCTTCGGTGCTGGGCAGTTTGAAAATAATATAGTTTATAAGAATTTGTACATTTCTAAATTAGGTAGGCACGTCATGTTATTACACTATTACATCATTGTAATATTAAATCGATATATTCATGTAATTGTCAACGAACATGAGCTATTAGAATAATATTTTTAAGCTCTAGAGAACGACCGGATCGAGTGCAATATTCAAATATTTTCATTTGCCTGAGCAGTTTGAAAATCCTCCAAAGATTAGAGCCACCTGACCATATTAAAATATGGTTAAGATATGGTAACATTAATCATAATACCTAAATCCTAATAAATGCGAAATGAAATTTTTCTATTTAATTTTAATTTTTTTTTGGCAATTAATATACTGCACTCGGTCCACTTCATTTCACTGCAGACAATGTTTTCAATTTTTTTTCTGTATATTAACTCACTGTTTAAATACACTCTGTTAGATTATCATCTATAATGATTTTTATTAGTGTACATGTAAAAAAAACTATTTAAAAACAGGGTACGTAACTATTGTTTGTGCCAGTTTTGTGCAAAGTGGTCGTAACTTTGTTTACAACGGTTTTCCCTTCGTGGACTAATACCAACCTGTTGTTCTTTAAACCCTTGAAGGGTGTTTTCTTCGGTAACCGAACCGTTGTACAAGCTTATTGCCGCGGTCTGGTGAATCAGGGCAGACACCTTTAACGACGCGTCCCGTAGTGGAGCGGACAACATGAATAACGATAGAGGCCCTTGTAGCTCTTCTCGCGCCCAACAGTACTTGTTCTGTGAAATGTATTTGTACCAGAAGTGCAGACACTTCCATTGTAGGTAGTTTTTAAACAATGGTATCTGCGTACAAAATCATTAACACAGTTGTATTTTTCAAAGATAAACAAAGTTTTTATAGGTACCTACATATAAATAGCACAAATCCTAATATTGTTTTAATACAGCCTATACTTCTATGAAGGTAGCTAGTGGCTAGTCATGAAATACTTCGATTAAATACTCCTTAACCGCCAAATCAAATAATTAATTGAGAGTTTCAGTTAAATGATAACATAGTTTTTCAACTTTTGTATATGATATAACGATGTTCATAACAATTTTATACCTAAGGGTTAATTATTTAAATTGCTAGATAATAATGCTATATAAGTAATTACTATTTACAGTTCTTTATTTTATTTATAACATTTAAAAACCGTGATACGTCACTAAATAAATAGTAACCATACATTATAGTGCTTAGTAGGTCTCCACTTACGCAATAGTCAAATACCACATATATTTTGTAACATTTTTTTTTGTTTAAATATAAATTTTGATCATTTGTTATTGAAAACTCACTGAAAACCTGAGTTAAATAACTTTATTTAATGGCTCACTATGTGTTGTTGTTGTTAAATTATTTATAATTTTTAAGTTCATATTAAATATTTATTATTATTGGTACCTGCACATTTGAATGAATTTCATATTATGTTTAACATATATATATATATAATATAGCCAATATACGTAACTGTATGTAGTCAATATAAAAACCGTAACTTACTTTTACGACTTTCTTATATGATCTATATTCCTCTTCGAATTGCCCAAATGGAGTGAATGTCACTTCGTTTTGAATCTCAGACAACATACCTTCATTACTTAGCGTAAAGAAACAACGTTTGTTGATATTTTTGAACAGAACAATTTTGAAATTATACGGTGAAAAATATTTAGATTTTTTGCTAACTGCGTAAACTAGATAAATAAATTTGTATTCCGTCGCCGCCTTTAACTCTTCAATAGTCTTATCTAGGTTTAATATTTCTGGTGGTTCTTCTTTAACCGACGTTTTTCCGTCTCCGGCGATGGCGCAATCTTCAGACTCACCCATTTCGACGGCTAAACATTAAAATCGACACGCTAAAATCTCAATTGTACGAGTAGTAATGCTTGATAAATAATAATCCATTATTCTATTGTGGGTACTTACGATTCGTTTCGTCTAGTTCGACTTCACTAACAACCCTGTACGGCGCATTTTCGTTTCTCGTTTTCGTGAACTGCCCAGAGTAAGGCTAATGCAACACAATACAGCATGTAAAAAATGTCTCAATTCAAAATTATAATGACAAGGATTATTGGCAATTTAATTGTTATTATTTGTCATTTATGGCAACTCAATTTTTATTTTTTTAGATTGGAATAAAAGAGGAAAAAAATGACCAAAACTCACTAAACGTCCTGGCTTCTCTTTTTCGTTCGGTATCGACAGCAAACACTTAGAGTTTGTCGGATTTGTTGTGGCTATTTTTTTCTTGACATTTTTTGAATCACTAGCAAACGAAAAAATTAAAAAATTAAAGTGACAGTCGTCCGATTGACGTACAACACAGTAGTATTTAAACAACGGGCTATCATACTTGCTATTTATTTTTGGTTTCTTTTCTGACGAACTCCTTCGAGCTGAGATTACTTACACCACACCTGCACGCATCAAAGTCGAAACCAAATGTTCATGGCCTACTAAACAAGACAACAATTTTAACTTACTGATAGGTTGAATGCCCCCATGTTATTCCCTATTTAGTTTAGTATCGATTCAAAGGTCGTCGCTAAGGATACGTTTCTTAACAAGCATTCCAGAACTGTAGTAAAACTGTAGAGAATTGTCTAGAAATATTTTAATACTTCTAAAAAATCAGGTTACACAACTGGTCAAATATAAATTATTTTAAATATATAAATACCTCCCAATCAAAACTTTTTATTTTTATCAAAGACTCAACTTTTCTATAACCAAACAATCATAATTATATATTCGTGGTTTCACAAAAAATACTTATTAAAATGATGAAAAAAGTAATCTCAAAAGTTATTGATAAACATAAATCATAATACATTAAAAATACACATTAAAAAATGTTATTTGTGGGTACTTGGATGTTTTTTAATATATGTATTATTATTATATACATGTATGATAGTATGCAACTAATATGAACTCAACCTACCAGCTACCGTAGTAATAATAACGATGTAAATATAATATAAAATATCTTAGGCCGACAAACAGTCTCCGCTCAGAATCGTTTTCCGTGTACAACGATATTGTATCACTAAATTCAAAGTTATAACATTAATTACAGTGACCCACCTGTAACCTACTATACGGCAAAGCGTCTCCTACTTACCAGCTTTTTAAATTTATGTTTGAAGTTCATATTTTGACAACATTTGAAAATCACTTTGTAATGAAAAATGTATCAAATGTTCAATTTGTATAGCAAGGATTGAAAATTGAAAACAAGGTTTCCCATAACTATTTCATACTGCAATCAAAAAATCTAAAAACACATTGGTGTGAAATAAGATATTTAAACGAAGGATATCAATGTTATTGTTTAATTATTTTGTTGTATTTCAAAAATATTATTTGCGGGTGCTTGGAACTATTAAACTGTATGATAATATTTTATCCACATGATGATGTTTTTAAATTAATGAGACTGCTGTATTACTAAATAATAGTGAAATAAATTACTTATATCAAATAATATCATAAAACATATTTACCTAATTACAATGTTCCTCGTAAGTTGATATTATTGTAATTTAAAAAAATGTTGATCGTAAATTCATCATAGTTTTTTATGAGCGTTTGAAGTTCAAATTTTTTTTTATTGATCTTGATTAACATCGGTGACAACGGCCATTAGTTATAATTTCACAAATATATACAATTACATTTTTTACATTTAAACTTAAATTTGACTATACAGATTTGTTTTCCTAAAGAATCCGAGAATCTGTGTGGTGGTATCCGCGTCCGGTCCGAGTGCTGCGTCCAGTGTGTTGGGTTTCAAATTTTTAAGACATTGGATATTGACCTTTAAATAAAAGATTTGTCATCGAACGATTACCTTATTTTGTTGTAATTCAAAAACCAATATAACTGTAAAATTGACGACATTTTTCGGTGTTGGTGAGTTGCTATACATTATATAATATAATATAGTAGGTGCTATATAATATAATATAGTAGGTGCTATATATAAATATAGTAGGTGCTACATATAGTATATAAACATCACAATATAAATTTACTAAATGAATTATTAATATTAACGTATTTTCTAACATTGTCGTATATTAATATTATTTTGAGTTTCTATATAATATAATATGTCATATATTATGGTAATAATGTTCAAAAAAATAAAAAGTATTCGTATGTTAATATTGTTATACCTCATCTAACATAATCTAACTACTGTTTTAGCAAAAAGTTAAAACTCAACGATGTAACTAAATCGAAATTCTCCATTTCTTTTAGCTCATTCTTTGACATCTGTACCTACTCTAATGAAAACTATTTTTTCTCATATTTTCTTTGTTCTTCCACTTTTACTTCTGCAATTTATGTTTCTTTCAGATTGAACATCTAGTAACACATCAATGAAGTTATATATGTTAAGATGGCTACTGTAGAATGACATGTTTAGTTTTGAATGAAAACTTTCACAACTGTTAATAGTACGGTTGCAGCTAGCAGTAAACTTCTTTATATTCGAAGGGGGGGGGGCATAGACTCCTGTGAAATATAGTGTTACGTGGTAACAATTAAATTATTGTCTATCACTAGTGGTATATGGTGTGTAATTGTGTATCCGTTGTGATAGATCAGCACCAAACGGGGGAATGTGAGAGGATTTGTATGTTCGGCAAGACAACTAGTTATACCGAGTATAATTTAACGTATATTTTAAAATGTAAAATAAAATCTAATATAAAATATTTTACTTTACCGATGACCTGGCAGCAACAATACACGGAGCAAGTGGTGAGACGAGACTAACTCTGATTCGGCTGATGAATGTCAAGCAGGCCGAACGATTATTATACATTTTGTTTACTATACAAAATAGTTACACATATATATAGCTTTACTCCGTGATATTACAGAATGGATAAAAGATGACACGCGCATCTATGATATATGTATAGCATATAATACTATACTTAATATTATAATTATAAAAATATGAAAACTGAATGGTGTTCCACACCATTTCAATAGTTTTCAAAAATGTAGTTTGTACATTTCACAATCTGGTCATTTTCACCAGGCTGTATTGCCAAAAGTCGTCAGTAAAGCAGTTTATGACGTTTTCAGGTTCTAAAAATGGCAATCCAAAAAAATATTTTAAATAATGACTATCGTCTATATTATTATTATATAGTTTAGTAAGTCCTAAACTTTGGATTTTCTATCCTCCACCAACTTTGCGCTAAATGAAATCGACATCCTCTTATTTGTGCATGATGGAAGACTTCCTCTGCAACACTATGTATTGCTTGTTCAAAATCTATAAAATTGTTAGTAGGAGAGCACAATAAACCAACGGACGTGGAGTGACGAATTACATATTGAAATGCACATGACGTAAATAACAACGTAACGTAACGTAATACACATTGCGTACGCAGTATTTAACTTGTTGGGTAGTAAAAAAACAAGTACAAGTAAATAAATAAAAATAAATACATATAAAAATACACACCATTTTTATGGAAAAGAGTTGTGTAATGTTCTTTTTACAGCTTTTCAACGTCCCATATCGACGAATATTTTCATAGCACTTTTACATTTTGTTGCGTAGAAAAACCAACTACTAATCGAGTTTACATTATTGTTTACAAACAAAAATTGTTCACCTATGTTGGTTTTAATTTCCATAGACCCCATCTTCAATGCAGCTCGACAGAGGGGGGAGGGCACAGATAGACGGGTATGATGAATATTATGTCGAATTAAATCATTGTAAGTCAAAGTCAGTATATCACGTTGTTTCAATTTTGAGCGAATAAGTTTCGACGGTTTGAAAGAAATGTCTTCTAAAGCTTTTCTTTTCAGAGAATTACTCATTATTTGTCTATTCGGGACTTTTTCGTCAATTTATTGTATTTGTTATTGGTGTTACTCTCAACTATTATATTTAATGGTGATAATTATTAATTTAATCAAACACTTGAAATTTTTGACCCAGCAAGGCCGCTGTACATCATCCTATATTGTAGTGTCTTATGAAAAATGTGTACTGTATAGCCTTCGTAGATAATAAGCGACTTCAATATTTCACTATATACAAATTGTATGACAAATTATTTTCAAATACGTTCCTTATAATATATTATACATACTATTATACGAACGATACAAATTTTAACAAACAAACATTGATTTCGGACTGAATACGCATTGACAATATTTATTTCGCCATTTGAAATCATCCGATTATCGTAGTTAATCCAAGTCATACGGCAGGTAATACAATAAAACGATCTATATTATCTTTAACATAATATTATATAAAGATATAACTCCCCATAACTAAACCCAATATGATAAGTTAGATATCATGTAGAGCGTAGAGGTCATTGCTCCCCATCATACGTACCGAACATTTCGTTTATATCGTTATTCGTTGGTAGGTACATGCAACACTGCATCTGCCAGGTTCATAGGTAATAGATATATACATAGGTACTCAAGTAATGATAATTTGATAATCCAGGCCTCAACTTACCTACACCTAAAATATTATGGGGCTGGGATTCACCGGTATCCAACACCGGAAATGACACGTCGGGCCTCAACTCACCCACAGCCAAACTTTCATATTATCATTTTATATATATGTACATGATAATATTTAAAAAGCATTTTGACTCTTCTTGAGGTACCAATTTATAGACATTCAGATGTTTCACTGCGGTGGTGTATGATGGTAAAAAAACTTTGCTGTGGAAAAACTAGTTTAACTACTAACATAATAAATGTTTATTTATTGTTACAACAATCCTGCTGCAGCGCCAGTGTGATACACCGCTTAAATGTCATAATATTACATAGTTTCACTCGTACATCCGAAATCTATGGAAAAAAAAATATCAATTAGAAAAACTTCCTGCAAACAACAACTCTGAAAGTCTGAACTACGACGAAAATGTCGGTTTTGGCTGCATCTAGGTAGGGCTCTCCTTGGTTGGGCTCGCTTTGTTTGGCGGCGACGGCGGAGGCGCATCAACTTTGGCCACATGTGAGAAGCCTCTGACGACACCACTTCCGGTACCGTCTGCACACCCGTTGTTCTTTTGCCGATTTCCGGGGGCGTACACGCTGAACTCGTCCGTGTCCTGCTTTAGTTGAACGTAGGCCGTCATGGAATCCTTGGCTTCAGCCAGCAGGATGATGATGTTGTTTACTAACGCTTGGGCTTCGCTGACGACTTCGTGCTGCTCCGCCAGCTGCCGGGACGCCATATCGGCCGCCATCGCGGACTCACGGTACTCGCAGTTGGCCGCGTTCATTCGGTTTGCCACCTCGAGTAGCAAGGCCGTCGACCGTTCCCGGTCATCCGCGGCCGCGATAAGCTGGCTTTCGAGTGACCGCACGTTCAACGCCAGCTGATCATCGAGGTTCTGGCTGGCGATCGCTTCGTATGTCAGACAATCGATGAGCTCTCGTTGCCGCACTGCAGAGCACTCGGTTTCCAAACACGGAGCCAAAACGTACGGTCGTTTCGGTGACGACGACGGACCTTTTTTCACGTTGTTGCTGTTGGACATATTATGTAGATAGTAGATACACACGGATATAATATAGACAAGCACGTTGACAAAGGCACATACATAATATCAATAATAACTAATAATAATAATAATAATAATAATAATAATTTTAATATCGAACCTCCGTCGACCGTGGATTTAGGAGAACTGTCTACGATTTTTTTAGATTATATTAGGCAGCCCATACAAAAATATCAAGTTCAAATTGTTTAGATTCTAAGCTTAGTGATGCCGCAGAATGCGATTTTACAATGATGATGTGTGTGTGGTTTTTTTAATATTTTTTTCGGTCCGTCATCAACCTTTGGGGTAAGTAAATACAGTCAGATTTTATACTTAAGCATCTTTTCTGATGGGAAAGTGAATCGAGTTGGTACGATTAGAAAGGTCAAAATGCAAAGTTATTTGAAAAAGCGTCGGGAAACATAAAAAAAAGTTAAGGAAAAACTAGAATTCTAATCAATCTTTTCGACAAAATCAATTTTATGGTTTTTGTTTAACTCAAAAAATAATCACCCCGTATATTTAAATATTTAATTTTAATCGAATGTTCATTTTTACATTATATTTAAATGACGATATTTTCAAAAAATTCTGACCATTTTTGAACTATTAATAGCTATGAGAAATTTTAGATTTTCAATATGTTTCTTATATTGCCTTCGATAAAAACTTTTTACTTGAAAAAAGTTTGAAAATTGAACTGAACGGTGTGGACGTTACTTTAACAGCAATTTAAAAATATTAAAGATACATATGTAAGGACAATTCTTTTTTAAATGCACTTAAATTTGAAATTTTGACAAAATTCATCAAAATCCAGAAAATTTGAAAATGTCAGTAGAAGATATCCCACAAGTTTTTCTACCTTCAACAAAAATAGAGTTTACCAAAAAGTTAGCCTATTTTTTTTCAATTATTTAATATGATTATGACCATAACATACAAGTATGCTAGGATGAAAAAATGTCTCCGCTCAGAATCGTTTTTCGTATGCAATGATTTATCATTGAATTAAAATATAATACCTCCATTACAACGACATACTAACAACTACAGGTGTACTTCAGAAGTACAGCAGAACGGTACCCACTTGTTCTTTTTTCTTATAACTAATTGACAAAAATAAATAAATTATACTGATGTAACTTATCATCTGAAAACCAAAAATCGACAATATACACTATACCTTTGCTGCGCGGCTAAGATCTGTGCTCGAGACAAGCCGCATAGATTGTCAAGTGGAGGTACTGAACTTATGTTATACAAGGAATATATAAATTCCGACCGTGAAACGTTGAACACTACTGCAAGTAACTGCACTACAAAAAGCCACATAATCTTTGCGATGTTAGGATTCACAGATTTAAACAAAATGAAAAAGGCAATAAGTATTATTTTTCCAGTTGTTATGGAAAATAATCAATAGCTTACATAATAATTACAAGTTACATTTCGAGTAATAATAGCCGAAATAAAAAATTTTGATAAATTCTAAAAAAAATATTCAAAACAATTGTTTAACCAAAAATCACAATAGTTTTTACGAGAGATCTGATTACAACATCCAATCAACCTATTATTGTTTCAAGATGTACCTCGAATGTCGAAATGAGCTTAAAACTTTGAAACATAATATTATTTGATCCATTTAGTTTTAATAATTTTGTATGAACAAGTATTTTGACTGAATAATTTTATAATGATAGTAAGTTATGATAATGATAAATTAATGTTTTTTTAAAATCATTGTACATAACCATTATTTTTATACATTTGTCCTTGATTGGTTTTTTTGATTTTTTTACAATTTAACCGTCTGTCATCAGCTATATATGAATATATGAATAACCTGTGACTTAATAGAAAAATCAAATAAGATATAAACATTAAAAACACGAACATTAATCACTTGTCAGCACAAAATATTAATGGTACTCAACGTTTACGTAAATGTGCAATTTTCTGACATTTGAATTTCATAATATTGTTTTGATTATGAATATTCACCAGTAAGCCAACGATTTATCAAAGAAGGATTCTCTTATTTTGTTGTAATTTAAAACGAATAACCATAAATACTTGAAATTTTCACTAAATATTTATAGTATATTGAATATTTTCTATACATTTTATGATTTTCAATTTTTTTTAGTTTTTTTCTCTAAATATCCATAAAAAATGTTTGCTGTGTCAAACAGCCTAAATAAAAAGTTACATAAGAAAACCAAAAAATATTTGAGATACCTACCCAGGTACGATTTTATTTATAAACATTTATACTTTAAAGTAAAATATACATTGAAAAAATACATAAAAATCATATAAATGTGCAAGTTATTTTGTACCTAATTAAAATACTAGAAAATGTTTAATTTCTATAGAAAAATCTTTGCAGTTGAAAATATAAAAAAAGGTTTCTCATAATTAATTCATAATTTAACTAAAAAATCTAAAAAATAAATAAACACATTTTTTTAAATTGATATTTCAAGTTCAAATTTGGACGAAATGAGATACCTAAATACGAAAAATAACGATTTTAGTTATTTTTTTGCGTTCTTAAAATGAAGTTATTTCCGGATACTTGAAACTATAAGTATATTATTATATTGTATGCACACAGTGACATGTTCAAATACAATTTTTCGGCAAAAATTAATTCAACCTTCTGTATTAGGAACTTACTAAATTGTAGGATAGTAGTTAATGAAATTACTTTAATAGCAATAATATCTGTATATTTAGTAACAGATTTTAGTTGACAGATCGCACTACTCAGAATCGTATTTCGTACGGACACAATGAATTCAAATTCAAAATATCCATTACAGTAATCTATTCGATACCTTCTTACAGCAGCCTGGTACCTACCCATTTGCCCAAGTTTTTATTTTTAAATTTTACAGTAAATACATTATCAATCGTTTTAATTTTTTAACCTTCCTCTTTATTTAACTTCAAATCTGTTTGATATTTTACTCAAGTAAAATGTATTTACTATTATTTATGCATTGAGTACTGTGGACTATGGATATTGTGTTTAAAAGCACACTTATTCCGTATTATACACAGGTAAAGCATAAATATGAATTACCTATGTTTAGAAATCAGTTGGAAAATAGTGTTAAAATAATGTCAATGTTTTTTTTATTCGGTTGTCGAACATGATGGCAGTCATCATAGGTCATCAGTCATCACATTACAACTAGGTATTTATTCTTTTAATGCAATTAATTTAATTTAAACAAAATTAGGCAATTAATAATAAGTAGGTAATAACATTTATATTAATTGCATTTTGAATTATGTCGACCGTTACAGTTAGCAGTGAACTAGATTTAAATAAATTTTTGAAATAATAATCATTGTTCGTTCGTATGTTTTTACTCAAATGTCAAATATAAAATATAAACAAAATATATTTCAAAATAATACTTCTTCTTATTCTCTTATATAGCTGGTACTTAATACTTGACAAGACTACTAATTATTGAACGTTTAGTAAAATAGAAGTAATTGAATATACCTGCTTTTAATAATATTATTTGACTTGGAATGATTAAAACGCACTGTAGACAAAATATTGACGATTGTAATAACTAATAAGTAAGTACAACCAAAATATTACACATATGTATGTAAATATTATTATTGCGTTTATTGGAATGGCGATTTGTTTATAAAAAAAATTAATAATTATAATTATAAAAATGCAAAATCTAATATAGAATTATATTATAGAGTTCGTAATATTTATATTAATTACATTATATTTAAGGTCATAATATAAATACGACGACTTCCGATCGTTTTTATTAGAATAATTATACAATATAAACCTATCCTACACAGACGATACGTATACTTTTATATTACGCGATCGTTAAATGAAAATGGGAGGAAAAAAATCGCTAATAGTCGGCGGTATTGAACGCCATCATTTCCTCTCCCCATTCGGTGCCAGCTTGTACGTCCGTTTCCTTTGGTCGGCAACACGGCAAAATGCATCTCTCGTAGCAGCAGGCTTTGCGCAGCAGAAACTTAACTCGTTTCGGTCGGATGACGGTCACGTACAATACCAGCGCCGCTTGTATGGGATTGAAGACGACGTGCACGTAGAACAGCGAATCGTGTTGGGTCCACGACAGGATGAACAGCGTCAGGTCGACCACCATGATCACGAACAGTTTGGAAAACATGTCAAAACTGTGGACGAGAAAAAAAGATAATTCGTATACACTTATTAAGGCTCAATGTAAAACCATAGTAAAACAGGCTTGGGCATAAAAAAGGGGACGGACTTCAGAGGCTACACCCGCTCCCACCCAAATGTTTTTCGGGTGTTATGTAATAATGAATATTTATGATTCTTGTTTAAGCTAATGAGTATTGATATATTAATAATTTTCTGAAAACAGTAAGGAATTTAAGAATCTTACATTGATTTATTGTTGTAAGATATTTTTGTTAATGTAGTCATTTTTTATAAATATAATAGAAACACATAAATAAATACATATTTGTTTAATTAGGTTTATAAATATGATATTATAATACGTGTAATGATAGAATGAAAAAAAAATTAATATTATACAAAATCATATTAGTTTTTGTAGAATAGTATTGAAATGATAAGGCGCATGAAGTCTTGGGGCTAATCGCTAATATACAAATTTATTTCATGTACCTGCCAGAAAAAGTGTTCGATGAGTAAGTATTATAGGCACCGGTACATAAAGTTGAAAAATAGAACACGATTATTTCTCAACAGGACACCGAACCCGCATGTGTTTATCGGTGTCTTACAACCATACAACATATCAATTTTAAGTTGGCAAAACTAATACATTTGTATCGTATTTTTATTATTTTTATTTATTTATTTATTATTATTTTGCAGACTTTTAGAGTTAGTATGACCGTCATAATTACAAAATATTTTCATTATAAACATTGTATAAAGCATCTGATTACTTTATGTCTTGTGTAAAATCTGCATACCTACCATTTAGAATGATTTTACATATTATGATCGTCAAAATATAAAGTACTTGTTTAGAAAAATTATCATACCTAGTGGGTTAGCGAAACCGTTTATACGTCGTGAACAATATAAAATTATAATATATTACTATTATTCAGTATTCGTGATTTATAATTGAAATAAAGTCGGGTGTTTTAAGAAAATATAATGACTAATTTATTTTTTGTTAGCATTTCAAAGATATTTGTTTAAAATATAGAATTAAGAATATTGTCCAGAATTTTTTTCCAAAAAGTATGATAAAAAAGAATTGTTTTAGTAAAATTAACTAACAACTTTCAAGCACCAAAGTTTATTTTGTCGAGTTGAGAAATAATTTGTTGAAAAGTAACTACGGTTTTATTGATTATTAGTCAAGGCAGCTCGAAAATAACTTTAGTCAAATTTAAACTTTTTGAAGATATTTTTTCACCGAAATTTTAACTTTTAATTCTTTATAATTGCAATAATTATTTTATTATTATTACTTTTAGAATATTTTAATAAAATATCAGCTTGGATATAATATAATGTGCTACTTACTCACACTTAATCAACTTCAATGTTCCCATTTACATTAATTTATATTATTAAAATAATACTGCTCTTACCTATATTTCATTTTGTGATGGATTTGACCGTATGTTGACATCCGTTTGATCACTGTCTTAGTGGAAACGTAAAAGAACAAATTGACTAGAATCGTGCATATAACCGGGACGAATATGACGGAAATTCCGAGCCACCCTGCGAAGAAAAAAAAAACATTAAATTAGTTTTTTGGTCATAACAATTTCTGTATAGTACATTATGTTACACGTTTTCTAAGACACCTTAAACATAGTCTTTCGCAATTCATAGAACGATAGAACCATACATAATGGGTGATATAAAAATACATATCTACAGTTATGCATTTAAAAATCAAAAATATTCTTGTCTCTTCTTCTTTGTTATTTTTTAATCTTGGTTTGCATATTTTTATATTGAGATTTAAGTCTATTTTAAATTAAAAATATATAATAATATATGAATACACTATTAACGACTTCATATCTATAATCAATCTTCAATAGATATATACTTATAGTATTATAATGCAACTCGAGCATTTAAGTAAAAATGTATTGTTGGTAATAAATTAATGACACAATCACGAGTTAAAACTCTAAAACAAATGCCTTTATTTTCAAGTTATTATTAAAAATGATCTAATCATCGAATATGTTAACATAATTTTTCCTCTAAGAATTAAAAAAAAAGTGTCTAAACATGGATAAATATAATATATCAATGACTTTAAAATATATTTCATTCGCAAAGTCATGAAATTGATTTGTGGCTAATTCATCAATACATAATATAATTTAGACAATAGTAATAATAATAAAAATAATCATAATATTGCGAATGCAACAAATTTCGAACACTATACGAGCAGTTATGACATAATGTTTAAATTTTGTCGAACGACTCATCGTAATAATATATAAATAACTGAGAATTCTCGTATTGAACTCACGTTTGCTGATGAGGAAGGTTTATATATAGGCACCTACATGCTATGCGTACAATCTATATATAATTTACTATCGTGTTATATTAAGTGTAATATTATATTCGAGATTTCACTTACCTATGGCTCCTTCTATCGACGTGGTGGTAGACGGATGAGACGAATAGGTTCTATTAGAGTTGCTGTCACGTGAGTCCAATATTAGATGTGCGAAAAGCGCCATGCCGCCCATGGTTAACGTGCAACCCCACACGTACAGCGAGTAATAACAGTATTTGCGTCCGTCGGTAATGCGCAAGAAAACGTTACGTGATTTGAACGTACGCCAAATGTAGTATCCCATAGCGTTCAGCCAAAAGAACGAGCCGAGAGTGGACGTGTAAAGAAATGCGTCTATAAAGGGGGAAAAAAATATAATTATATGGACATAAATACAATAAAATATTATTACACGTACGACTTTTCGATCTATAGGTATTACCGATAAACCGTGGTCGCAAATACGACGAGACTTATTCCTTTTAATATCTAGCAATAAATGAAATAATTAATTTCCATTGTTCACGTGCTATTGAGACGTACGACAACATTACTATGCATTAATATACCCGACTACCCCCATTAAAGAAGAATATATCACTTTTATTTACAACTGGAATATAATGCATATATACTTGTTAAACGACACCCACCCGACGACCACGAAACCACTAAACTATGAAAGTATTTACCAATAAATGCTAAAGAGTTTCAATCGTATGAGTTGCAAGTAGCGACGAATATCTGCCTAGCAGCTGATATTATGGGTATGTACAGCTGTTGTAGTCACCATGAACCGGAAACACGATAGGTACATAATAATATATATATTATTATTCTAAGCATTATGGTCTTATTATATTGTGTTTTTCAAGTTATGAACCTGTGAAACCAGATATTGATTTACCTATAAATCAATAAATCTGTTATTTATTATCTATTTTACGTACAAATAAATTTTTATCTCCTTAAGAAAATATATTATTATTATTTCTCAATAGTATTATTTATATTTATCAGATGAAATTATGAGAAGATAATAGTTAACTATTGATTTAAATCTGTGTACTGATATACTTCGCGTTTCAACGTTGTAACAACTTTACTTTTACTCGTTGTTTATCGTAGGTAAAATGGTATTTACCTTGTCAATGTGCACGATGATGAATTGATTATAATTTATAATAGGTATACACGTAGCCCTGTCACAGAACTGTACCTTTAATACGTCTGTGTTTCAGATTACATTCATTTCTTATGAATTTATTCTGAATCACGATTGTAATGGAAGGTACACAGAAAGAAATGAAATAAAAATCATCGTCTGATGACAAGCCGGATTAAGGGTGGCTAGCTGCGGTGTGGTGAGGTTGTAAGTCCCTGAAGCTCACAAATGTAAAGCCAATAACGGTTTGGCAGTTTGAACTTAAAATATTTCAGAATAAAACAATAATTATTTGTAGTCATCATATTTCTTTTAGTACAAAATCTATTTATGATTTGTATTGTGTTTTTATTATTACTATTACAAACACAAATTATTTTAAACTTCACCTACTGAAACCTAAGTAATATTACTTAAAAGACTTCTCATTATATAACTGAGTTATTTTCAGATCGTTATTATTTTAAATCTTAATAAACTCTGCAAAGAGACGTCTGAACTATCGCGTAATTTATAATGAAAAGATTTGGTCGATATTTTTAAATTAATATTTGTTTAACCATTGAATACCACAAGGTTGTATCTGTGGAGAGAAAGAGCGAAGAGGGTTGGTACATGTTCCCAGACACCACCCCTTGCAGTAAAAATTTGTATGGATTGAAAAATAATAATTTATTTATATTTAGACGAAGTAATTATGTTTGAATATTTTCTGTAAATAATTTGTATAATGTAGACATGACAAGAGATTATTATTGGAACATTGATATTTATGGGTATTTGTAGCCATATAATTTACAAGCAATTTACATAATCATATTTTGATTATGGATCTCTAGGATCTACCTGACATTTGAGTACTATAAATTTAATGTTTAAATTGAATGATGGCAGGTGAGTGTTACATTCATGTGTACGCCAGAATAGTATAATTTAATATCATGTTCAAAACATAGAATTGTTGGACTGTATTTTGTTTTATTGAGTGAGAGGAGAGCCACGGCTGAGTATCGGCTCCCCATTGAACTGAAAAGAACTGGTTTTGGAACTAAAAATCCTTAAAATATGCCGGAATCGACTTTAAATATTTTTAAATAACCGTTAATTTATAATTATATACTAAAAATATTGCTGAGTTTTAAAATTATTAATTTTGTATTTACTTTCTTGATAATTTTTTAGAGTACAAATAAGGAGTACTTGGATAAACTATAATATTATTTTTGTTAAGAACTATATATTTTTCTAAAAATCTTGAAATCTAAATGGCTACATTTTATTTTGATACGTACAATATATATTACTATTTTAACAACTAAAGCATAAATTAAAAAAAAATTAAAAACCGTTTAGTTCCAGTTTTAACCGTGATTGAAACCAGAATCCTTTTTTTATGAATTAAATAAGTTTGGAACCAGAACCAGAACAGAGAAAAAACAAAGATATAAGTCCCTGGTCAGTACAAGTAGGTATTTACTGTGCGGTAAATATGTAGATTAAAGGTACCTAGAAATATACCTAATACCTATACAAACATTAAACAATACACATACCGGCTGTCAAATAGCTGACGGGACCGTTGTACTCGACGAATATGCGGACAATGTTGGCGATCCGAGCTATGATCATACAGCCAGCTAGAGTTGTCACCATATTTCCGATCAAGTCTCTGAGCTGTGGCAACACGAAATGGACGACGGCGACGAGCAGCAGGCAGGCCACCGCGATGGCGTGGCAAGCAGGATTCACGATCCTTCGCATGACGAAATCGGCGTCTGTCCAGGGTGACGGTATCTGTGGTGTACAGATGACCGCCACTTGTGCGTTCATGTCCGGACGATCGATGTCGATGACCTGCGAGAAATATTAATGATGGAAATTGAAGTGGTGAAAACATTAAGTACTTCAAAAAACTACCAATATTTTTATTTATACCTAACAGTCTGTTGTATGGGTTTTAATTAATAAAAGTATTGTTACGTATAGAGTTAAACGCAATACAATTTGAACAAATGAAAAGGATGTTTTAAAGCAACCCTCTCAATTGTGGACGATACATATTGCATTATAGATATTATTATCTAAATTTAAATTTTTTTATTTTATTAAACAAAATGCTTTAACGACAATGGTTAAGTATAAGCGTACAGTTAAATTGTATTTACATTTCTATTTTCTTTTTTTCTTAATTCTATATTATCTTTCTTTTCTCTCTTTTCTGTGTATTTAATAATATACTACAATTTCAGAGATTGTTCAAAAAGATATCAAAAAAGTACAATCCCCGACAGGTGGTTGCCCATCTCGGTTGAATTAGTTCACAAACTAAGTTATACCAACACCGATTATTTCCGATGAGTTGAGGCACACTATAACCAAGATACCTACACCTATTTAACTCCGTAATTTTATATTTGGTTAAGTATCATCAAGTACTGTCTATAAATCTATACTAATATTATAAAGCCTTGCTAGTTTTAATGTTTGAACGCACTAATCTTATAAGCCAGTGAACCGATTTCATTAAAAATTTAAAAGTTAAGCCAATAGACAGTATTGGTCAGGCCTACCCTGCAGCTCACACATGAATTTTGTTTTAGCTTACAAAAATCGAATTATTTTTAATATTTGTTGTAAAAATGTACAACGAAAAGTGTTGCCCTTATGTTTGTAGCTTATAAACTAAAATTAAATTCAAAAAATGAATCGACTGAGTTTAACGAAAGTTTTAAAAATTTTTCTTTGATATAGGTATCAGAAAAGTTTAGAAAGTCGTTTGCGCAATGTTAAAAATAGAACAAGTCCTACATTCAACCTACCATAGGATCCATTATAGTTCACAGAGCTCAGAACACCGATGCCGATTTGGCCGTGAACATGAGGTACACCAATATAGCATATTACTTTATGTTTGTTAATTTTTTCCGTCATGCTGTAGGTATAGTTAGATAGTATATAAGTCTACTATAAATGTTTAATACCGACGATTATCGACTGTTGTCATATACAGGTACTGCATTTTCAGGCAAATAATTTTAAGTTCACGTGTGACGGAATAAACGCAAATCAGAAATGTATAAATATTGTATAATATAATATTATCCATATAGCCCGCTTCCTACCCAATTAACTGAGCCTTAATCACACCACTGGTTACGTCAATCACCCATAGAGCAATCAAACTTTATATCCGCTTGTCGAAGCAGGAGCAGATCCTGACGGTTATATTATATTAAATACACAATAAAAATAATATCATATTAAGTGGTTACTTTGTCCAAACAGTAAAATCCTTGTTCATAGTCGAAGGAACGTTCATGATCCACGATGAAGTCACGGTTCTGTTGCTGTTCTTCGCTGCTGCCGTGCTGGTGTTTGAGGACGTAGTGTCTGAGTTTTCCGTTCGGATACAACACCAGACGATCGCCGGATCCACGGTAATGGTACACCAACCATTGTTGTCGCGTCTTACAATTTGGAAATCCAGTAGCTAATCTAAATTTGAATAAAAGAAAAATAATTATTAATCATAATATATAGATACGTTTAATCTTGAAATGCAAGACATTAATGATTTTAGACCTCTACAAAGGAAATTCATAGGCGATAGGTAATGGTTATAATCACGGTTAGTCGATCATAATATTAAACATTTTTCAGTAAATAATTAACGAAAACTGAAATCATTTTTTAAGATTTTCAAACTATGTATTTTTGTTCCTAGTTATTTTGATATTAGAATTCATATTTATATTGAGGCTAAGCGTCTTCACTCGTCATAATTTTATTTATTTTGAGTACCCACTATTAAATTAGAAATTAAATTAAAAATACCAAATTACTACTATATCTTCAAAGTTATAGGAAATTAAGTAAATTATATAATATTCTAACATTAATTACATTTATTTTTTGAATTTAGTTACTATATTACTTATTAATGTCATGAATCTATTTATTTTTTTTTGTACTTCAAATCGAAAAATCAATTCTTTTTAATAGTCAATTGGAAAATGAAAATGGACTTAATACTTAATAGAAATAGTGAAAAATATTTATTTTGGTTTAATTTTGTATAAAAATGTTTAAAAAAAAATAAAATGTTTATAAGTAAAAATAATATCATGTTTTAGAAACATAATTTTATCATGTATTTAGTATTATCATTGATTATCAATATAATAATTATATAGTATTTATAATCAATGGTATTGCCTACCGACTACCTAACATCGCTCGGGGAACAAAATGTACAAGTATGAAATACAGAGCTATATTATAATAGGTATCTGGGTTTTGGTGTACTTTAGTTGACGGGAAAATTGATGCCAGTGTACCCAGCTTGGTGAACTAATTTGACTGGGATGGGCGGGCTTATGATAGTAAATATACAAATAACTGACGTGCACTAAATTATGGGTATTTATAACTGTAGTAACTACAATAATGTGCAAACACGCGCTACATAATGCATTTACACATTAATACATTATATTATATACTATGTACACGCGATCCCGTGATCCTGTTATGGAAATATATACCACGGAGCTATTGAATATAACATGTTACAATAACCGAAATATGCATTGGTGCATTGGTGAAATCTGACATATCACAAAGTATTAATCAAACAAAATGAAGTTTACCGGAAAATCAAATTAATTATTTATGAGCGTTTGAAGTTCAAATTTTTATGTCAATTGAATATTCTATCGATTTCTCGTTTTCACCAAATGTTTATTTTATAATTTAAGGACGTAATATGACACAATTTTCAAAATATTTTGATTTTCGTTTGGACCATGTTTAGATTTTCTCAATGTTCAATTTTTTTTTACATTTTTGTTCGTTTAACTTCGATTAAATTTGTTTTGTTGGGTTAAATAGCTTGAACATTTAATACAAAGTTGTTTCTCATAAGTATTTCATACTGTAATAAAAAAATCTAAAAATTATACACAATTTTGAAATTAATTACATAAGAGAACATTTAATGAAGAACAATGATGATAGTTATTATGTTGTAATTTAAAAATATTTTTCACAAGGACTTGAAACTTTTAAAGTATAATATTATGGACCCAATTATAATTTCGAATACAATGTTTTCGGAAAAAAAACCATCCAACCTACTGTATTACTACAATAGTAAAATAAATTACTAAAATATCAATAATAGCATAACATATTCTAGGTAATATAGGCTGACAGACTGCAGTCTTCGCTCAGAATCGTTTTTCGTATACAACGATCATTAGTAATGTTGAATTAAAATTTAACACATCCATTACGGTGACTCACTCGACAACAACTAATGCACACCAAAGCGGTACCCGCTTACCGAAATACACTCGACACCTAAGATACAGCAGAGTGACTTCCCTGGATTTTTTTGTACTGATCATTACGCATTCTTTTTTGTGCAGTGACCGAACGGCTTTACTCGTCCGGCTCCCTTTCCTAATAAATACACCACTATTCCCTCAACGACACCTGCAAAATATTGTCTGCTTTGGAACGCGAGAGGGTTTCCTCGTTACCGTCCATATTTATATCCATATATATATATTTAGAGGTATACCGTATATATTATAGGTAGTGTTATATTTTCAAAGAAGCGGATGCAGTATTATTGCATTCAACAGAGCGAGTATATCGCTGCACAACCACGACTACCGCGATACTGCACAAATAAGTTATACCCATCCATAACACACATCACCTATACGTTTAGAGACGGTAGGTATTACTATACGGTTAAGCGCGTGCGGTCCATATCGATCTGCACCTTTCCAGCGACGACATGATTGAGGACCCTCGCCTTATTGGATTCCGTACACGCATTATACGCACACCCGCTCGTATCCATAATATATATATATATATATATATCCAGCCATAGTCCCACCCACTGATCCGGCCGGGGGTTCGATGTTGAACGGAGACCTCGCGCAAGGCGCTCATCGTCGCGCTGTTTACTTTTTGCGGGTCGCCGTCGTCGTATCGTTTCGAGAGAATGTAAACACACTATGATAATATTGTTTCTCGAGCAGAATATGGTTAGTTTAGGTATATAGTACATAATATCATATTATATAGGCCACGTCAATGTTTCGAATTTATTGAAAGTTCCGAGTAGGTACCTCTCGTAATCGAACGGTTGAACCAAACGACCACTGCAGACCAAAATCAATAATGTTAATTAAATTGTTGTAATAACGAAAGATAGTTTTTAACGGACGATAAGAAGGAAAAACTCCTCGGTCGTCGAGAAAGTCTACTGCCCTCTGGGCCCTGGAACCCGAAAATACATAACATACTATATAGTCAAGTGATAAGTAAAGCAGTCTTCAGTCTACTAAACGGAATGAAAGTTATATTTTGTTGTCAATAAATGACGCTGCATGGGGGCCAAGTCATGTGAAAATAGTGAAAATAGTTCAGTTCTCGTGTAATGGTTGATAAAAAAATACCGAAATCAATACCAAATATGCTTATTTTAAAAAATTCACTTAAAAAAATTTTTAAATGATATCTACCTCAGTAATAGTCATTTATAAAAACACACAATTATTTAGATTTGTTTTGTGTACCTACATGAAAAATAAAATTGCACTATGATGATTATACGATAATTTATAAATGCTAAGCCTTAAATTAATATTTAAAAACTAAGCCTATATCCACGCATTTAAACTAACAAATTAATTATATATGGCTTAATGTGGTATACTGTGCACGCTATTAAAAGGAACCACCTTGCATGAATATATATTTTTTTAATTAATTAACCTCAATTTTCAAACAAACAATTACTCGAGTATAGAACAAATAAAAACAAAAAAATCGATTTTCAGAAAATACTTAATTTAATTTATGAAATACAACACTTTATATTATATATTATTTATCTTATATGAATTACAAGCACGAATGCATTCATACAAGAACTGTTATGAAAATGTGAATATAGCATAATATATCCATATAATGGTTTAATGAATATTATAACTGATCACGTTTTAGATGCACAGCTGCAGTACTTATTCAATCTACTTATTTCTTCATTTCATTATAATAGGCCATTGAAAATCGATGTGAGACACGTTTAGAACTATTTGATTGATGGTTTATACTATCTATGTAGACGTTTTGCGGTAAATAATTGAATATTACCATATTGTCATTTGTAAAGTTCTCCATAATACTTAAGTACTACACTTATACACCTTCATTTTAATATGGGAAATGATGATTAGTACAGGTCTTAGGGTACAGGTTGTACATTGAATATGAACGAACAATCACAATGATTTCCCTTTATGTCCCTTAAAGAATGTTATGTTTGTTTTTATGTGCAGTATGCAAAATTCTAATTTCTTACGACTGTGTACAATCGTCATTATTCTTAATTAAGATCGCAGTTTTGAAGTGCTTATTATTGGTATATTATGTATACACATGCTCATTGCAGCTCCATAGTGCGGACAATTGTGCGTTATCGTTTTTTAATTTCACAATAATTGACCATGCGTGCATACCAACAAATAATAATACAAATCACTAATTTTATTTTAATTTCGCATTTGACAACGATTCGTCGTTAAACACACCACGGTAGTATATTCTGATTTCTAGATTATGATGATGTTTTCTAATATTTCAGGGGCAATATTATAATCATTACACTTTTATTCGGCTGTACGGCGGATGTATTAATTTTCCATTGATATACTATTTTAGAATAATTAAATTTAAAATACTGTAAAACTCAACACGAGTGTTGTTTAATTGACTTTCAAGAGCTAATAACAAAGTATATACGGTGCAAGAGAAAGCGAATCAATTTTCTTCTCACAAATATTGTTTACAAGCTCTTTGTGTATAAATTAATAAAAGTCAAAATTACAATTCAATTCAATCCTCTACACGTCAAAGTTGTACAATATGTAAATATAATATTATTCAGGACATGGATACGTGCAGCATAATACCAAATCACTTTATAACATTTGTACGGAATTTTGATCAATACCTACGTATATAGTTATTTATAATGTTTCTTTGTACACCACGATGTACAAAAATTAAATTTTATATTTCCAAGAATAAAATCTAAAAACATTACGGATAGATTAAGTATAGTATGCAATAAATACATAATTTGATTGATGATTGCATTTTTTATTTATCATTAATAATTTTTATTTTGTATAATTATGTTCAAAATTATATAAAAAAAAATATAATATAATATAATATAATAAAAAAAATATAAATCTCGAAATATAATCTCGAATTGTTAATATTATACTTTATTGTATACTTATATGGCTATATACCTATAATACGTTATGAGGCTATATTGAAACTGTTCAATGGGTTCTTAAGTGAATTTATTCTGAAAAAGTTGTTTTGGTTCACTACATGTTACTCAATATTTCATTAGACTTTAGGTACATAATGTCCATATAATTGTGGCAAAGACTGAA